GGTCTAGCAATGACGATGGGACAGATTTTATTTTAGATAAATAACTTGTGTCAGCTTCTCCCTTCCCTCTGGAATATTCAGAATTAGCTGTTCCTGTAGACAGGGATTACGCTGGAATTGTTGGTAGGTTTTTACTATGTAGAAATCCTGTTTACTTTGTATATTCCTTACTCTTTGCACATCAGAGAAGTGATGTGGAGAATTCCTCTATTCTAAACATGTGAAGCTGTCAAATCTTCCCCTCTTCTCCTGAGAAAACAAATGAATCTCAGATACTCCCCCTCCAAACCATTGTTTTACACATTCTGTGTCCCTTGACATTTCTGTCTTGCTTTCTGTCTAGCATCTTCATCCTTCATCCGACTGACACTGGAGCTGAAGGCCAGATTATGCTCTGTACAAAGGTATTGTGATGTGTGCATTGTGAGCAAGTCAAACATTTCCAGATGAGAAAGCAGATCATGCCATATCTAATGCACCTGATTTCGCAAGATGGAAGGCTGAAAGACTCAAGAGGGGTTGTATCTTACTGCAAAATGTAAACGGCAACTGACAGTGGAAAAGCTGGACGTGGGAGAAGGGAGAAGCAGTCAGATGGGGGGCAGGTGGGTTCACAGAGTGTTGTGAGAATCCTGTGCTCTTTCATGAGCTGCGCAGGTAGAGACAAAGCAGCCTGGCTTTGGAGTAATTAGATTAGTGGGTGTTTTGAAAAGAAATAACAGTAGCATCAGTTTCATCTGAGCTCTGGCTTCCCAGGCACATATTACCTCTATCATTGTTCCTTGCGGTGTGATAATGTATAAGAAATGGGCAGGAGGAGGAAGACTTCAATGGCAGACATTGCAAAGGGTCTTCTGTAGCAAAGGCTATGATTTCTTGGTTGAGGAGGACTTGGGGAGACTCTCTGTGGATCTGCAGAGATGTGTTACCCCTTCTTCCCTATGACTGCACCTTATTAAAGAGTAAACAAAACACACAGCACCCCTAGCCTGTGTTAGGGGTTACCACTAGTGAAACTTAGAGTGGGTATGTTTGTGCCTGTGAATGGTGTGTGTGGGGCATCAACGATGGTGTGTTACAGTGCAAAGCTGATTAGTTATGTCGTATTCTGCAAGGAGATCATTGGAGAGTGAAATCATGCTACAAAATCTTCCTGGTGTTTGCCAGTGGAATCAGGTGTGGGAAGCCATCCTCAGACACCACAGTGTTCTCTGCAGTGTTTGGGGTCCTGCCCTTGCAGGACTCCCTGAGTATACCAGGTGCAATGATTGTGAGAGTACCCCACTATATTCATACTGCCCCAGGGTGTGTGAACATGTTCACTGTAATCACCATGCACACCTGCCACATCTGTGAGCTGACTGTCCTTTGGGAATCACTCACTTTCCCAGAACCCCAGCTGGCTCCTGGAGTTTTGTTGTGATGGGGCAGGTGCTTGTATGTGATGATTCAGTAAACTGAGGTTCGAGCAGACAGCATGTGAGATTGGAAATATGAAGAAGATACTTCTAGCCTTTTGCACTGTATCTTTCTACTCTTCACAGTAATCCTGCCTTGAATCAAGCCTGTTCCAGATTCCTTTGCAGCTTGTGCTTGAGCCTTTACTCTGCCACAGAGAAAGAGAGAACTTCTTCTCAGGAAGGCAAGTTTTGGGAAGAGACAAATGGCTTCATCTACTCTGAGGCCCTGACACCCTCTCTTTAGCCTTATCTGCAAAAATAATTAAAAATAAAAGGACAAAGAAGAAGGGAAGGGAGGACACACATAAACTCTATTTAGAGGTTGTGGGTCTTTTCCCCTCAGCTTTTTTTTAAGCTGGTCCAGCAAGGAGCTTACACTCACAGAATGCATTCTGAAGAATTTGGAACTTTGCCTGTTTACATGGTGACATTTATTAGCAGAACTGTGCATGGCTTAATCGAAACAATCTCATTTGCCATGTAGTCACCTGTATCTGCAGATTTTTCCTCTGGCGTACTCTGTAAAGCTTTCCTGTCTATACTGTAACTTTCCATAATAGGTAAGTCCTAGATAAATGAGATGAAAGTTTTCACATCACAAAAGCCACCTTTCCCACTGGCAGTGGTTGGTCAGCATACAGGCAGCATCAGCAAAACGCTGGGAACCTCAAACAGAAATGTCTTTTCCTCCTCAAAGCCAGCTCCATTAAATCAAGTCTCGCAACACTTCATGCCAGATCATAGGGGTGTGCTTGCTGGATGTGGTCTGTGGGGCAGGAGGTTGGCTTTGATATTTCCTACATTAGGAGCTTCCCTCATTTAATGTTCTTGAATTAGGGCAGGCAGATGCTTCCATTTCCCTGTTCCACTCTGCTTTGCTGTAAACATTCCTCAGCGCTGCCTGCCTGCTCATACTAGTTTTATTTCTAGAGCAAGACATTTCTGAGCTCCTGCAAAAAGGTCTGCCTCAGTTAAACTACACCACTGCTGAAAGCCTTCTCCTCTTGGTTGAAACCCCTGAGCCTTTCTCTTTGGATCAGGCTCTTTGCAGCCACCAACACTGCTTCATACTACTCTTATACTTTGCCTACACCCTTGAGGACAGGTGAGCCAAGAGTATACAAGGCACATGGTTTTGTGGCCATTACATACCATGTACTGATGGGTGAGGTATGTCTAATGTTACTGTTTGCACTCCAATCTCTTTGAATGCAGGTTTGTCCCAGAAGCAGAATTATTTTTAGCCATAAGAAATTTCCTCCTATCAGCACAGGACCATGGAGACACTCCCCCTCCATACATACTCAGAGCTGCACTTTACCTCCTTGCTGTCTGTCAGGACAAAGGCCAAGCACTGGACTTGGTAAAAAATTATTTCATTCCTTCCTCTTGGACCGTTTTTGTGGAAACGAAAGTTTCTCCCCACTCCCATCAACCCTCTTGTGAAAAGTATTTTGACATAGGTGGTGAGCAGTGAGTGAGTGAAGAGCGTGCAGTGCATCTACACTCTGGAAAGTTAACTGTGAAAAGCCACCAGGGAATCTAGATTTGACTGAATAAACCTGTGTATGTGTGGGAAGTGTAAATGCGTTGGATAGGCTGTGAATTCACATATGGAATATAATAAATTTCATCACTTCAGTCTCCTGAACACATCTACAGCCTCTGCAGAAGGCTTTCTAGTGTTCCCATATGGCACTTTGCTGCTGCACAGCTTTGAGAACTGTATAAAGCCTACAAGTTTCTTAGCCTTTATGATGCAAATGGGCTTCACAAAATGATGTTTAACTGATATATTTGATTGTCTACTTAGAAGGCAGTGTGACTGTTTCTCATAGCACTCACATCACTTCAGCTTTTTTGATAGTCAGTATCTAGAGATAATTTTGTTCTCTCTCCCCTTTTCCCTCCCACACATTTACCAGAGGTCGTTGTGTACCATAAGGAGGATCCTGGACAATCTTCCAGATCTGAGCTTGGTCTACGTGCATTGTCCTCTC